CGCAACGCGTAAAATGACAGTATAAGTCATTATCATCAGTAATTATGTCCCCACTGGATGCTACAAATGCCTCGTTTGTAATGGGTTTTCATGTTTTTGTGTCGTTGCTCCGGCCGGACACGGCATCAACAGTATGTGTGGGGCGTAACATTTCCGTCACACGCTTGAGGTATTCGGCCAATCACAACGCACTGGATAGCTGGCCAATCAGAGCACACCTCGCTTTTCAGACCGATGAGCTTTGTAAAAATCGACGCGTTTCAGAAAGGCGGGGCATAGAGGAGAAACAATAATGTACAGTATGTGGAAAATAATCTGTTTTTTTAACCTTAAACACATTTCATTACACCAAATACACAAAATAATGTTCTTTTTTAGCAACATCATATGACCCCTTTAAGACCTGGGACAGTCTTGCGCACTTACTTCCTGTCGCGCGCGCTCATTAAGTGTGGGTATTAGGACAAGGCATTCATGTGCAATGGCCGCCGCGTGCGCAAGTCCACGAGACCGTACGGTGTCCCATTCATCATTTTAGTGTTCAGAAGGAAGCTCGCGAGCGCCCCCTTTGCGGCCGTTATGCGCCCTCGATCTGCACTTCTGCTGAGACCACACTGACTTCTACCCGACAGCCAAAGCGGCATTACGTCACGAAAGTGCGGACTCAGAGGAAGACCGCGAGGGTTTAGGGTGCCATTTGGGACAGGGCATCATACTATTACTGGAGTCTGTAGTGTGTTTACTGTGTGTTACAGGAATAAAAACCTTCCCAGAGATTCAACTGATTCATCTGCATGAGAGTGAGATCTTTGGAGAACATGAGACTGGAATGAGTCTGATGAGAGAGTTTCTGTACCTTCAACAATCACTTGAAGATCTCTAGATGTTTCTGTGCCATCTGAGTGAACGAGTGTTAATGTGTAATTCCCTGAATCTGCTCTGATCACACGATTTATGATCAGAAACCCATTAATGACTTTGACTTCAGGTCTGTTATTATAAAGATCACAATACATCATCCTGCCATATTTTACTCTACAAACTGGACCATCTGCTGCGTTGTTGTTTATTCTCTTTTTTAACGTCAGGTCATATTCTCGAGCGTCCCGCGCCATCAGCAGATTGAGTTTGTCTCCCAGAGCTGCGTAACAGGGATCAGATTGATTAAAACTGCAGTTCAACTCCACACCTGAAGAACAAAACACACACACACACACACACACCATTAATTAAAATCAGACACATATTACACAAACATTCAAAGAATTAAAGTTCAACAGAAGTAACATTTCAGACTCTTGATCTGATCTCAGTTCATCTCAGTAATGCTCATCTAATGCTCAACTCTTTTCTCTTGAAGAACAATGTCATTTGTGTGTCTCTTGACTTAATACTGATATAATTAACAGGATACTGAAAATAATCATATTACTGGACAGATTTAACTAATACAAAATAACTGTTAAAATAAAACAGTCATTTCAATTTAGAACGTTTGTTTTACATTGAAATATCAGCTAGTTTATATGTGACCCTGGAGCACAAAAGCAGTGTTAAGTCGCTGGGGTATATTTGTAGCAATAGCCAACAATACATTGTATGGGTCAAAATTATTGATTTTTCTTTTATGCCAAAAATCATTAGGATATTAAGTAAAGATCATGTTCCATGAAGATATTTTGTAATTGACCCTTATGACTGGTTTTGTGCTCCAGGGTCACATATGCTCTTATTCATCTTAATGTTAATTTAATTCAAATTAAATTGTCATGCTTTCACTGTGTACACTGTCAAACAGCAATGTGTGTTTAATTAACAACATACACAATGCTCCAGTGCACAATATTTCTACACTGCTCGGCGGGGATTCTACTAGATCTACCAAGGCTCCAATGACTACACTTAACATCTCCACGTGTCGAAATCCTGCGGTAAGAAAGCAGACTGTATGTAGAATTTTTCAGACTGTAAATCACGCGAAAGTCCAACCGAGAGGACTTTTTGGTGGACATTTGAATATCAGGAGTATTGTTTCAAAGAACGAACAGTTGTCTCATTTACTATCTAATTCAAATTTGGACTTCCTTTGCATATCTGAAACGTGGTTGCATCAATTATCTTCTCCAAGTGTATTTATGATGCCTGGATTTCAATGTTTTAGACGTGATAGGTCCTCAAGAAGGGGAGGGGGAGTGTTAATATATGTGAGAAATGGTATTAAGTGTGAACGTCTTGTGTTTAACTTTGTTAACGACTTGGAGTTTGTAGGGCTAAAAATAATTTTGTCTCCTCAAATGTCATTTATGTCATATATGTGTATAGACCCCCCTCAGTAAATGATATATTTTATAAACAACTTACAGAAATTTTAAAGGAATGTAATCATAACAAAGAAATAATTCTTATGGGTGATTTTAACTTGAACTGGGAGGACAAAGTAAAGAGGAAAAAACTCAAAACTATTGCTGATAAATATCTTTTAAGTCAGATAATTAAAGGACCCACAAGAATTGCTAAATCCTCTAAGACACAGTTAGACCTAATATTCACAAACAAACCTGAAAGGATAATCAAGAGTTATAATTTGATCACTGGGTTATCTGATCACAATTTAACCTTGGTTGCTCGGAAACTGACCAAAAACAGGTTTAAAAACAATGCGACAAATTCTAATAATGTTTTCTGTTGTATACCTAAAGGAAAGCTAGTAGAGTTCAATGAGGAAACAGCTAGTTTAAAGTGGGATGATATATTATCTTCTCAGGATGTAGAGTATGGCTGTAACACACTCATCAATAGGACTAACTCTGTAAGGGACAAATTCACTACAAAATTTCAGAAACAAATTAGGCATAAAAATAATCTACCTTGGTTCAATGACAACTTATGGAAGCTGATGAAGAACAGGGACTCAGCATTAAAGATGGCTATTAAGACAGGAAGGGATATCGACAGGCTTTGTTATAAAGGACTGCGGAATAAAGTTACTCGAGAGCTGAGAGTAGCTAAATCAAATTATTATCTTCACCAATTGAACGTGGCAAAAGGAAACAGTAAATTGATTTGGAAAAATGTTAATAGTCTTCTACAGAAGGAGATAAATTCTCCAGGAGATCTCAAGATCAAAGTTCAAGGAAATTTTATTCTAGATGATTCTTCCATTGCTACTGTTTTTAATAATTTTTTTATTAATTCTGTTAACGAACTGGGGGAAAAATTTATAAAAATGGAAAGAATTATTCTACCGTCTGATGTTGATAGCCAACACCACTGTAGGGTTTTGTAGAAATAAAATCTTTTGAGCTTTGATAATTTTAGACTTTTCTCAAATTTGTGTATGGTATATAAAATTTTAAATGGCTTAGCCCCTTCTATACTTCGTGATTTTGTGCATTTTCACTCTACAGTCTGTAAGATCTACTAGATCATCATCTACTAGTGATTGTGTTGTTACTTTTTGTATGTGTTTGTTATTTTGTTCTTATGTCTATCTGTGATTATGATTACCTGCCTAGGGACCGCGGATGAAAACTAGCCATTGGCTAAATTCGGTACAATGCATGAAATGGAAACATTTATGTTAAAATTATACATGGTCCCTTTTCAAATAAACTTTAATAAATAAAATAGAAATAACATGCAGTATTTTGATAATGCAGAAGTTGTGTTTGACCTGCATTTTCTGTCCAAGTAGTCATTTTCTGTCCATTTTCTGTCCAACCCTGACATTTCTCTCCATATTAATAATGTCTTAATCTTTCTAACATCATATTTAATGAAGACATCATTTATAAAAAAAAATCAATGAATGAATAAATTAATATGAAATAGTGAAATAAATGTACAAAATACTAAAACTTTTCAGTATAATGGATATGAAGAAGCACACACTTCCTCTCACATTTGTAATACTCCACTAATACAAACGGTTAAGATCAGAAAACACTATGACTAGATCTCTGCAAACTCTTAATGTAGTATTACAACTCAAATGATTTTATTTGAGAGATTGATCAGCAGCGTGAGTTTGATGTGAAAGTGACTCACATGCAGCAGTTTGCAGCAGCAGCATCAGTCCAAAGATCAGCATCATTTCTCTAAAGTCCAGTCTCCAGCAGAAGAGTGTGATGCTGCTTCAGAGCGTCTGTGTTCTGGCTCTCATCAAGCGTCTTCACTGAGAGACTCACACTGGACTGACACACGAGGAAACATCTGACCGCTTCACTGAGGAAAGAGGAAGTTTCCTCATATGGGGGAAGACACATGCTGTTAGCTTGCATTACATTTCATCTTAAACAAGCGAAACTAAGAGAAAGAAGGAACCATTTTCAGCCACAAAAAGTTCAAAAAATCTTGTTTTAGAAGCAACACGTTTGCTTATGTTTGTTTCTAAATGATGTAAAATGACTAATTGTGCAAAACACTTACAGATTCTCCTTTAAATCAAATGAAACAGTATCTTTACTCTGCTGATGAAATGCATTTTTATTGAGAGTAAAGCAGACTCAGGTCTATATGTGGTGTTTCCAGCAGGCTGTGTGTGATGATGTTTGACGATCCATCAGTTCATGTGTGAATGAAGAGAGGATTCTGAGCTTCAGTCTTCTGTCTGCTGCAGCTGAGACTCATGGGACTAGTTGGTCCTGAAATAAAACAGCAGCACAGAATCACCTGCTTTCTCTCTCTGAACCACATCAACACCATTCACTGCTGAGATCAAACTGAAACAAACTCATGACACTTTTCAAGAATTAGGAGAACTGACTGTTTTACACCATTGGTGTTGCTGTGGTTATATGTGACATTCATGTATTAGAAGCTCACCAGGACAGGGTTGGACTCTAATGGTCTTCTGTGCGTGACTGACGTGGTTCTTCACGCTGCAGCTGATGTCTCCATCAGTTCCCTCATCCAGATCAATGCTGCTGTTTCCATCCATCAGTGGATCTCCATTCAGAGTCCAGCTGTAGAGGAGCTGATCCCCCTCAGAGGAGCAGAACACTGACCTCTGATTGGAGGAGCAGATGATTGACACTTCCACTGAGCCAATAGGAGCTGGAGGGAGGGGCACATGACAGTCACATGACTCTTTCTCACCTCTTTATGAGTCAATATCAAGACATTTCTAAACAAAATTGATATCTGATATAATAGCTGGACTGAATTAAACATGCAGTGTAGGTCAGTTATGAGACAATGCAGCAAATGACTGTTTGAAATGCTTTCACAAGTAATTTTTTAAACAGTATGCAGTATACAGTAAGCAGCATGCTAGTGTTTCATTTTGAAAATAGTCTTAGTACATGGAAAGTGCAGATGAATTAGACTAAATTATTCTAGACATTCAGTAATGAGCTGCAATAAAAACCTTCCCAGAGATTCAACTGATTCATCTGCATGAGAGTGAGATCTTTGGAGAACATGAGACTGGAATGAGTCTGATGAGAGAGTTTCTGTACCTTCAACAATCACTTGAAGATCTCTAGATGTTTCTGTGCCGTCTGAGCGTTCGAGTGTTAATCTGTAATTCCCTGAATCTGCTCTGATCACACGATTTATGATCAGAAACCCATTAATGACTTTGACTTCAGGTCTGTTATTATAAAGATCACAATACATCATCCTGCCATATTTTACTCTACAAACTGGACCATCTTGTGTGTTGTTGTTTATTCTCTTTTTTAACGTCAGGTCATATTCTCTAGCGTCCAGCATCATCAGCAGATTGAGTTTGTGTCCCAGAGCTGCATAACAGGGATCAGGTTGATTAAAACTGCAGTTCCACTCCAGACCTGAAGAACAAAACACACACAAACACACACACACATACACACACACACACACACACACACTCACACATACACACACACACACATGTTGTGTTTCCATGTTTTATGGGGACATTCCATAGGCGTAATGGTTTTTATACTGTACAAACTGTATATTCTATTGTCCTACACCAACCCTACCCCTACCTA